GGAAAGAGGAAGAAGCAGGGCAGGGCCCAGGGGCAGGTGCTTCAGGAAGTCCACGCACATCCCAGCTCACCCTGCAGACGGGGCTAGGAACGGGGACTGTGGCGGCTGTGTGGGTGCAGAGGACCCAGATCTTGGTTTCTTCTCAGGGAATGCCTAGCTCTGGGGCTGGACCAGGAAAATACAGGATGAGCCTAGAGCACCAGGTGGTGTCCGAAAGCAAGGAGGTGGCTCAGAAAAACAAAAGAATGGGGGCATGTCCTAGGGAGCCGGGCGCCAGCCTGGAGAGCTCTCAGTGGTCGGCTCTGGAAGAATCTAGCGACAGTAAACAACACGGTATTGGATTACAACCCGAAATATAAATATATGCACGAGCCCCTACAAACATAAATAGATGATTAAATAAATACATGGGAGAGAGGGACAAAGCTTCCTTACAAAGCAATTCCACACTGACTCATTTTCAAAGAATAGAGTACAGAAGGGGGAAACACTTCCGAGTGGAGAGAGCTGTCATCACCGTCTTAACCAGATGACCGACATGAGTATCACCAGAGATAAGCCACGTTGACATCATTTACCTGCTGATACAACATGACTTTCTTCCAAACACTCATGACCCCAGTCTAATCACGAGAACAACCTCAGATGCATCCAGATGGGGGCACTCTACAGGGCCCCTGGCCCCCAGACTGTCCAGGTCACGAAAAACACACAAAGACAGAAATCGTCCCGGACCAGAGGAGACTGGGGAGACAGGACAACAGACACAAAGGGGGCACCTGGGCAAACTCCTGCAGCAGAAAGGATGCTGGTGTGAAACTGGTGCCAGGGAGCCTTGGGGGGAGCCCAGGGGGAGCCCCAAGGCAGCCCGGAGGCAAGTTCCTGGTAAGAGACCGTGAGTTTCTCGGTGCTATGATAACATCAAGGGAAATTGGGCGGGGGTATGGGGAAATTGCATCCTATCTTTGCAACTTGTCCACATTCCAAAATGATAAGTTCATTCTAAAAATTCTGAAGTAAGCTCCCATCACCCCAAGAAGAAAGCAGATCGCTTCTTCCCAGAGTGGAGTGGAGTGTGACAGAGTGAGAAGAGGGGGGCAGGCTGGACCAGGCTGCACTTCACCAGCCCAGCAGCACCCGGGGTCCACCACTGACCCCACTCCCCCCCAAGCCTCTGCTGTTACATCACCCCCAGCACATGCACCTGTCTGACCGGCCCCAGTGTCTGGCCTTAGGCCTACGTCACGCTATGGGTCCTATCTGTCCCGGAAGTCCATGGTGGTCCCGTTCTCTCTTGGCCAAGGGGCGACCGTGGCACCCTGGGTCCCCTTCCCACGCAGCTGCCCGCGGCAGGAGGGCAGGCGCCCGGCAGGAAGGCCCTGGGTGAGGGGGACCCCTGTGCCCGAGTCTCCAGGAGCAAGCTGTCCCCTCAGTCCCCCTCCCACAGCCGATGGCCAGAGGGCCTGGGCGGACTGGACCTAAGTCACAAAGAGTCCCGGCGCTGGGCCACCTGCTCCTGCTAAGCCTGGCCCTGCCCACCCGCCCTGAGAGGCCGGCATGGCCCAGTGGCGTGCTTGGTGCCCCTCCCTGCACCGGGCTCGGGTCTGCCGTGGACCTGAGGCTACGACGGGCTGAGCACCTACTGTGCGCCAGGCACGGGCTCCGCGCTTCAGGTGCATCCCCGCGCTCCCTTCTCACACCTCTCAGCGTAAAAATCACAGCGTCACCAGCAGCACCCAGGAGCCTGAGGCCTAGGAAGGTGAATGACTCGCCCACGGTGGCCTGGCAAGCCAGAGCCAGGCGGTGAATGAGAGGGTCCCGAGGGGTCTCCACCGTGCAGAGGCTGACCGCACCGGCTCTGGAATCCACACACGTGGGCCCCAGTCTGGCTCTGCCTCTTAAAAGCTGTACCACCTCAGGCAAATGTCCTTACCTCTCCGATCCTCCGTTTTTGTAAAACGGGGACGTGTTCAGACCTGTCTGCCTGGGCTGTTAGGAGAGGCACTGAGATCCCGCTGGACAAGAGGGGCACCCAATAAACACTCATTTTTATTACTTCTGTTATTAAGCCCCATCCTGGGGGGTCTGCCACCCCTCCAGTCCCGGCCCTGCCTCACCTGGGCAAGACTCACAGACACAGGGCCTTTCCACCCCAGGAAAGGAGGGGTGCCCCACTTAGGGCCAGCGCGAGGCCTCCCCGCTCCAGCCCATGGCGCACCTGAATCCTCTGTGGTTGACGAAGCAGTGGGCGGCGGACACCATCCAGCTGGGGGAGATGAGGGAAGCCCCACACACGTGGCCCTGGCCCAGGGCGTGGAGGCTCACCTGCCAGGGCCACTCACCTTCGTCCGCGTTCTCACCCCCGACAACCCGAGACTGCCTGGTGAACGACCGCAGCCCACAGTCTGGGAGGGGCAGAGACGGGAGTCACAGTGGGGCACCAGCCCCGCCACCAAAGCAGCAGCCGGGGCAGCCACCTGGCCCCTCTCCCTGCCCCCAAATTCAAAACCCTCACTCCCCACGTCCCCACGCCTGCACAGGGGCCTTCAGACATCAGCTGGTTTGCTTAGATTTAATTTGGGTGTCATTTGCCCAGACTTTCTTGTTGCATATGCGGAAGGACACAGCTCTGAGGGAAGAGCAGCGGGTGACGTGAAGTCATGGAACAGCTGCAGCTCTGCTCACATGTAACCTATGGCCAGCGCTTCTGAAATACACAAGAGGCTGCAAATTAAAGTATGGGCGGGGTGGGGACAAAACCCTGCCGAGGGCTCCAGGACTTGCCCCTGTGGCCAGGTCTACAGAGCAGGGGTCGGCCCAGCACCGCGGCCAGGACACCAGCCCTACCACAGAGGCCCTGACGTACTAGCTGCCCTGGGCCGTGCCTCCAGAACCAGAACTGCCTGTGAGGCAGTGCCTGGGTGCCAATCAGCAAAGTTACCCTTTCCTCCAGGCAGACACACCCTCTCACCAGGGCAGAGCTGGGTGAGTGAAGCGCTGACATAATGCCCACCTCCGTATGCGCCTTGCACAGTGAACAACCTGCACAACTGTATGCAACAGCCCTGCTCACCACAGTCCTTCTCATCCGAGCCGTCGATACAGTCCTCCTTCCCGTCACACTCGGGGTTGCCCTTGCTCACACAGAGCCCGTCGAGGCAGCGGTAGGTGTGTTTGGTGCAGGTGACGGTGCTCACTGTTCACGGAGGAGGACGCAGGGGGAGGGAATCAATCTCTCTCCCGCACCCAGGCTGATGGTCCATTCCCCTCACGCCCCTCTCGGGCCTGCCCCCTCATCCGCACCCGTGCCCAGCCGACACCCTTTCTCTCACACTCAGTGTGCAGGGCGGTCTGTGTGTGTTGAACTCTGGACCCGCTGCACGTGAATGTGGCAGGCAAGCGCCCAAGGGAAGGGGGCGGGGCCTGGCCTCACCGTGGTCGCACATGGCCTCATCGGACCCGTCCCCACAGGTGTCCTTCCCGTCACACTGCTGGCTCTGCGGGAGGCACTTCCCGTTGTTACACCTGAAGGTCTCGGGTGGGCAGCCTGGGGAAGCGCGAGGACTCAGCAGGGGCTGGCAGGTCAGCAGAGGGCCGCGGGGAGCCCAGCCGCCACCCCCCGACCCACTCACTGCAGCCCTGCTCATCACTGCCGTCCTCGCAGTCCTTCACGGAGTCACAGACCCAGAAGAGGGGCTTGCAGAGCTTGTCCGTGCATGTGAACTGGTAGGTGGCGTTGCATTCTGGAGGGGCGAGGGGCCGCAGTTAAGACACGAGGCTGAGTTCACTCAGCACCCGCTCTT